AACCCCCGGGCCGGGGCTGCTGTTGCCGCCCGCCGCCGCCAGGTGGCAGCATTGAACTTCTTGAGCCCCGGCGCCGCCGGGGACTGGGAGCACTGGGACGCACTGGGCCGCCTCATGGGTGCTGCACCCGTGTGGGGGACGTGATGCCTTGGGCAGGGGAGGAGGGGGAGGAGAAGTGCGGTGCTGTGCGGGTCTTTGCTGGGTGTCGGGGTGGCATCCTGCACCCCCAGTGTCCCGCTTTGCAGTTTGGGGACCGTGACCCATTGCAGGGTGCTGGGGCACCAGCTTGCGGAGGAGACCTTTGTCCCCAAACCTCCAGCATGATCCTTGCTGGTGCCCCAGTAACAACCTTGTGCGTTTTCCCCACCATCAGCTCCAGCCCTGGCAGCTGCGGACGCTCCAGCCGTAGCTAATGAGGGAGAAACTCGGCTCTTGTGTGTCTTGGCTTTACCTCGAAGTGTTAAGAATCAGTTTTTCTGGCTGCTTCGTTGCCGTCTGGAAAGTCTCTTCCCCCTGTTGATCACATGGCTTGAAGTATAACTTTCCTTTAAAGATGTCTGATTCTTCCCCCCCAAAAAATCCTCCTCCCTGGCAGAGGATGCTGCACATAATCCTCCATCGCTTGTGTGTTGCTTTCCAGTAGTTTGAAACTTCCCAGAGATGTAGGCAGGTGCTTTTCTTATTTTTGTCCTGGAAAGCAAACCGCGGCAGGAAGAAGGGAAGGGACTTGGCTGTGGTGATGCTGGTGGGCGCTGCTCTGTTTGGGGGGCGATAAGCAGAGCCAGACCCTTGCCTGGGGCGGGGTGTGGGGGGTGTGCAGGCTTTGCATTCACAAACTTGCCCAGGCTGGGCTTGGGAGCTGGCTGTGTCTCACTTGGGGGTGTTTATTTTGGGGTGGGATGCCAGCTGTGGTGCCGGGGTGGTGGGCAGGTCCCCGAGGAGCCTGTTGCAGAGGGTCCGCAGCTCCTCGCTGCCATCGGGGCTGGCTGGTGGCTCGTCTCCGCTGGCGGATTTGGCACCGTTTCCTTCCAAGACAACTCGGCACATCTTGCGCTGAGGCGGCATCTGAGGACACGGGCCCCGCTGCTTCCCTTGGTTTGCATTTATTCTCTCCTCCGGCCTTTGCCAGAAACACATCGCCAGCTCTCCGCAGCCCGGAGGCTTCCAGCTTTTGCGGGGTGCAAACTGTGGGTTTAATTTTGGGTAAGGGGCTGGACGGCCTTAAATTGGCTGCAGAGAACTGGCTCTGAATTGCCTCGGGCTTTTCTCTGTTGGAATATATATATTTTTCTTACTCCTGAACTTGTAAGGATGCTTTGGGATAATGTTGTTTTTCCCCCCCAAAAATAATGCTCAAGTGAGTGGGAACAAGAGTTGCCTCATGCTGTGCCGGGGCTGAGGCGTGCACAGGCAACGGGGTTGCTTTTTATGGTTTATGATGGGATTTCTAAGGCCGGGAAACTTGATTTGTAGTGGTGGGGTTTTTTTTTTAATTGCCAAGTGAGAATGGGAAACCTCACTTTGAAGTTATCTCCATCTGTACGTGATGCTTCCAGCACGGCAGGGTGCTGCGGCCCTGCTGAGGCTCGGCGATCTCGTGGACGGAGCGGTGAGAGCTGGGCTGGGTGAAGGGGCTGGCTACGCTTTTTCTGTCAAAAATCCGTGGCAGAAAAACTCGGGGTTTGAGTATGAAAACTTGTGTAGGAAGTGTTTGCTTTCGGTGGAACACTCTGTCTCTTCAAGAAAAACAACCACCAAAAAAGCCAAATGTGGAGTGTTTGGTTTTTATCTCCGGAAATATTTATCAGGGTTTTATTGGGGGGGGAATGGGACATTTCCCACCCTTGTTCCAGGTATGGTAACGGGTCTGGTGGGGGCTGCGTTTCACCCTGCCTGTGCCCAAGGTCTCTGCTCGCAGCCTCGATGCTACTTGGCGAAGGTGATGTCAATGGGGGTGAAGGCCCTTAAAGTGGGGTGGCATCTTGGAAAGCTGAGCTTTGCTGAGCATCTACCATGCTTGGCCTGAGGAACTTCAATACAACCATATGATGTGGGGTTTTTTATAGGGGGGTTTTATTTTCCTTGATGCTTATCCAGTTTAGACACTGGGCCACGGCAGCCAGCTTTGTCAAACATCACTTTGTCTTCCCAAAAGATCCATCTTGGACTCCTTTGGTGCGATGAAGGCAGCAGTGATGTCTGGCTGCTCTCTCTGCGAGCAGCAAAGGGGTAAGAGATGCATCACCAGACACAGGAGGCCAGTGACTGATGGTCTGGGTGTGCTGGAAACCCTCTAACTGGTGGGCACAGATACGCCCACGGCAGGTTTCTGTGGCTTGGGCCTGTGGGGCAGTGTCTGTCCCCCAGCCCTGTGCCACAGCAGAGCAGCCAGTTGGTCCATCCTGGCACTGCAGAGCTCTGGGTGGGTGTGAGATGCAGCCCTGCAGCGCTGAGGATGCTCGATTCTTGCTGAGAGACCCCTCCGAGCACCAGACAACTTGCTCTGCGGACACCCCGTGCAGCCTCTGGGCAGCACTGCGAAGAGGTGACACAGAGCAAATGCCAAACGCAGACGTTGGCATCTTCCCGAGAACCCTGGCAGAGGAGCTGCCGGACCAAGGAGGAAGCAGGAGCAGTGGAGAACATCTGGATGGATGGGAAATGCGCCCTCCTCGTCCTGCCTCAATATTGCTTCGCTCAACCAAAAATAAATTGGAAAAGAAAATTGGACGTTGCACCAATTTGGGGCAAGTTTATAAATTCTGCAGCTAAGCAATCCCAACCGAAGATGATAGATCGCCCGCGAGCGCGCAGCCCCTGCCGTGATGTATAGTCGCATTAGCCGGAACGCTGTTACATGATTCTGTTTTATTACCACTGTTGGTGGCAGACAGAAAAACAGATTAGGCTTGAGATCAAATCGATAGGAACTTTATTTACTGGCCTTTTAAAAACATATTTCTGCACTTTATAAAAACATACGGTAGATGCTATTGATAGAACTTGTCTGCTTGTTAAAAAGCAATTTACCTGCCGCGATGCGCTCGAGCCGCGGTTCACGGCGCTACCTTTTACCTGCTTTTCCACATTCGTTTTCAGCGCAGGGTTTGACAACTTCCTTAGAGGTTTCTTGGGGCTGTGGTGCTTTAGGGTGTGGGGAAGGTGTAGGACTCGCTCTCTGGCCAAGGGGCCTGATGTCTCACAGTGCTTTTCCCAGGGTTCCTGCCCCAAACTGGATTTCTTTAAACTTAAATTGGTTTTGCAAGATGTCTCTCCTGTCCAAACTAGTCTGAGAAGGCACCTTGCACATCCATCAGCTAAACTTCTTTCTGCGGCTGCATGGAGCGCTGCCTTTGCTCTGCTCTTTCAGGAATCGTGCATTTTTGTGGTATCTTATTTAAAACCATTTCCATGGCAGAATGGAGAAGAGCTGGAGGTGAAAAGGCAGCTGGAAAAGCCCCCCAACCCATGGGATGATGCCCTTATGGGTTGCATCAGGCTTAATGCAGCGGCGGCTCCGTGAGCTCGTTGTGCCTCAAGCTGTAACCCGCACCCTGGGGGGCTGCTGTGGGGCTGGAGAGCCAGGGTGACACCCTGCTGCGGGGACCACCGCCAGGCCCAGGGTGAAGGGCAGGAGACTGAGCCTCTCCCAGGAGCTTGGGTTGTGCCTGGAGTCCATGGCTAAATCCATTTGCTGGTTAAGTCCCAGCTTTGGCCCCGACTCTCTGCCTCTTCTGAACTCTTGGTGGCCGGGTTGGGGACAGTCCTGATTTCTAAAGGTTTCTGTGCTCTAGGGTCTGGGGCCCATTCTTTGGGAAATTACTCGTATGAGGGAATTCATTAGCTTTTAACAAAAGGAGGAGAAGGTCTGCTTAATCTCCTAATTGGGATGTGCTCTAGTTGTGTCAGGCAGTGATTTGCAGCTGGCTGGAAGAGGGGGCTCTCGAGTGGCGCTCAGGTTAAATTCAAGTCTCATTAAAGATGGTTTTAAGCAGAAGATTCCTGACAGTTTGTGTAGCCTCGTTGGCTTGTGGAACGTCTGGGGTTATGGAGCCACCAGCGTGGGGTTTTCTTTCCCCCCCCCCCCCCCCCGCCACCCCTTGTGA